TGCCAACGATTACAATTTTCGCGCGCGATGACCGAACGGCCGCGGTCGTCGCTTTTTCTTAGCGACAAATAAAACTTTTGAAGGCGTTTGTTTAGCTCTTGCGGGGAAGTTTCTTCAAAAGGAGTTGTGAATTCTGTTTGTATTTAAAATAATTCTGTAAAAAAGATTATTACATTTAGTTTTAAGCTTATTTATGAACAAGTCAACTAAATAAAGTAACGCAAGACTTAAGCTTAATTTGCATTTGTGAAAAAAAAACTTTTTCACCGGTTTTATTGATAACTATTCGAGTCGAAAAGACAGAGTTTTACCTGTTAAAACTTCCAAACCGAACTTCGTCACCTTCTTCATGTATTTCGGAAACAGCTTGCTTGATTAGTTGTGAAATTTCTTTGTTTGTTTACGGCAGCAAACCGGGAAGGCATTTTGCTCGCAACCTACGCGAGTTTGGCGTCGCTCGCTCGGAGGAACTGGAGGTGTATCAGTGAATAGTGCAGGATATTCACTGATTGAGTAGCCAATCAGAGCGTGCGAAAAACACTATCCACTGTTTTAGGATATACTAAATCATAGTATCATTATTGTTAATTTTATCACTTGACAATTTAGTCTTTACTGCAAAGAGTGGAATAAACGATGTTTGTTTGTTTGTTTGTTTGGTCGCTGTCATGTTTCTTAGTTTCAGGCCCTATTCGTACGACTCAGTAGCGAGCTGCCTGGGATGTAAGATCAAAGATGGCGTCCTCCTCATCGAACACTTGAGTTTACCTGGTGTTCAGCCTTTATTTCGCTTAAAAACCAAGCGGCATAATTTAAATGCGAGGAGCATAATTCAGAGAAAAAAGCAGAAGTCCGGCATAATTTCTAAAAACTTTGAACGCTGCCAGGAGCATAATATGCTCGTTTTTCGAACACAATCGACAAAATCCAATACACTGAGGATGACCCTTCAAAAGCGCTTCATGATTTGCTAAAGATAACGGGCGAACATCAAGATTGTCCGGTTTTATACTGAATTTCTCTGAAATTCTAAGACTTGAGTACCGCTACGAGCGAAGACAAAGAGTAGTTTACTACAAACACGCCATGTTTCCTTGGCGTCTTCCGCATGCGTCCTGGTTCGTTACCAGGCCGCGCTCATACTACATCTCCCTTTTTTAACGTTCTACTGTCCAAACTTTAAGACGTCTTAAGAGTCTAAAATGAAAGTCAAACAACAGTAAAGTTTCCAAATTAACACGTTCAATGCTAATAGATCAGTGTTCTAGGATAAGCACTCAAACTCATGGCCGGAAGCTCATCTAGAAGAAGGAAACTTTGAACCCAAACCAGGCTTGGAGCTCTGCAAGGCTTTATTTGCCCATGATACGCCACATGAAATGACAACCATTTCTCAACCAATACCGGATCGGTCGTCGCCCGGGTCAAAAAGAACAGCACCTTTCGTTGCGCATCAGGACGGAGGTGAGAAGTATGCGACTGGTGTAACAACTAGCAAGATACGTGCCAGGAACAATATCACTATTGGCACTTAGAACGAGAGAACCTTGCGAATGGCAGGAAAATTGGAAGAAGTGTCTTATGAGATGAGCAGATACTGCTGGAACATCTTAGTTCTCTGCGAGGTACGATGGAAAAACTTTGGCGAGACATCCACTGAGGAGGGTCATAAATTATACTTCAGTGGCAAGGAGGACAAACACGAACACGGCGTTGGATTTCTTGTACACGACGACATCGTGAACACTGTCAAGGGCTGCCGTACAGTCTCAAGCAGGCTCATCGTCATCCGCCTGAGGGCAAGTCCATTTAACATCACAATTATACCGGCCTACGCCCCTACCTCGGACAATGATGATGATGCAGTTGAGGACTTCTACGACCACCTACAGGAAATCTTGAACCAGTCCCCTAAGAAAGACATCCCTGTTGTGTTAGGCGATTGGAACGCCAAAGTAGGAGAGGATGCATTCAAGAATTGGAAAGGCACTTGCGGACGCTACTGCAACCCAGAGACAAACAAGAGAGGTCTAAGGCCCCTGAAGTTTGCTTGCTACAATGATATTGTGCTGGCGAATACACTTGGCAAACACAAAGTATCCAGAAGATGCCGACATGGCACATGCAGCCCAAATGAAGGATACCATAACCAGATTGATTATATCATGGTTAGGAGGCGCTTCATGGCCAGTGTAAACACCGCTAAGACAAGAAGCTTCCCAAGAGCTGACATAGGAAGCGACCATGATTTCGTGATGATGTCTTTCCGGCTACGTTTAAAGAAGATAAAAATGCAGGGTCCCACAAGGGTTAAGTTCGATCTTAAGAAGCTTAAAGACCCTCAAGTTGCAGATGCCTTCCAAGCAATGATTGGTGGTAAATTTGCACCACCTACCTTGCTCAATGCAGATCACACAGAAGTGGACACACTCGCGAACTCCTTCAATAAAGCATTGACTGAATCAGCTAGTGAAATCTTAGGCAAGCGCAGAGCAGTCAAAACACCGTGGGTCACAACTAGCATACTGTATCTATGCGACGAACGAAGAGCACTGAAGAAGGGGAGACACGAGACAGCAGAAGGGGCAAGAAAGTACAAAGCAATTAACCAGGAAATTAAGAAGAGCATAAAAAAGGCAAAAGGGTCTGGATTGATGTACAGTGTCAAGATATTGAAGATAACACCAGGAAGAACGATAGTAAGAAGGAATATCAGCTAGTTAAAACTGTAACTAGCACAAAACAAGGAAAAACCAACACCATACAGGACAAAGACGGGAATTGCCTCACTGAAACCAACGACATTCTAAACAAGTGGACAGAATACTGTGCAGAACTGTACAGCCACACAGTCGTAGGTGCCCCTGACGTGTTGACTGTCCCACTAGTTACCGACACTGACAACTAACCAATCTCGCAGGAAGAGGTTGAAGCAGCTGTGAAATCGCTCAAGAAGGGAAAATCTCCAGGGATAGACAATATCCCGGGAGAGGTGTTACAGGCAGGAGGAGATGCTGTGATAAGTGCCTTGCATAAAATCTGCAATACGGTTTGGCAGACAGGAGAGTAGCCTATACCATGGACCCAGTCCCTTATCATCACCCTTCCCAAGAAAGGCAACCTTCAACAATGCAAGAACTACCGCACAATCAGCCTTATATGCCACCCAAGTAAAGTCCTGCTGAAGGTGCTGCTAAATAGGCTGAAGCCTCAGGCAAAAACAATCATCGCAGAAGAACAGGTAGGTTTCCGATCAGGTCGCAGTACAACAGAACAGATCTTCAGTCTCAGGATACTGTGCGAGAGGTACCTCCAACATCAACAAGACTTCTACAACGTCTTTATTGATTTTAAAAAGGCGTTTGACAGAGTATGGCATAAAGCCCTTTGGTCTACCATGAGGCTTTATAACATCAATTTCAACCAAGAGCCTTAATGGGACAGAGACGGAAACGCCCAGTATAGCCCTTGGGATATGTGAATTTCACCAAAGTTATTTTTAGACCAATTAATCGTTTTAACTTTTGAAGGCGTTTGTTTAGCTCTTGCGGGGAAGTTTCTTCAAAAGGAGTTGTGAATTCTGTTTGTATTTAAAATAATTCTGTAAAAAAGATTATTACATTTAGTTTTAAGCTTATTTATGAACAAGTCAACTAAATAAAGTAACGCAAGACTTAAGCTTAATTTGCATTTGTGAAAAAAAAACTTTTTCACCGGTTTTATTGATAACTATTCGAGTCGAAAAGACAGAGTTTTACCTGTTAAAACTTCCAAACCGAACTTCGTCACCTTCTTCATGTATTTCGGAAACAGCTTGCTTGATTAGTTGTGAAATTTCTTTGTTTGTTTACGGCAGCAAACCGGGAAGGCATTTTGCTCGCAACCTACGCGAGTTTGGCGTCGCTCGCTCGGAGGAACTGGAGGTGTATCAGTGAATAGTGCAGGATATTCACTGATTGAGTAGCCAATCAGAGCGTGCGAAAAACACTATCCACTGTTTTAGGATATACTAAATCATAGTATCATTATTGTTAATTTTATCACTTGACAATTTAGTCTTTACTGCAAAGAGTGGAATAAACGATGTTTGTTTGTTTGTTTGTTTGGTCGCTGTCATGTTTCTTAGTTTCAGGCCCTATTCGTACGACTCAGTAGCGAGCTGCCTGGGATGTAAGATCAAAGATGGCGTCCTCCTCATCGAACACTTGAGTTTACCTGGTGTTCAGCCTTTATTTCGCTTAAAAACCAAGCGGCATAATTTAAATGCGAGGAGCATAATTCAGAGAAAAAAGCAGAAGTCCGGCATAATTTCTAAAAACTTTGAACGCTGCCAGGAGCATAATATGCTCGTTTTTCGAACACAATCGACAAAATCCAATACACTGAGGATGACCCTTCAAAAGCGCTTCATGATTTGCTAAAGATAACGGGCGAACATCAAGATTGTCCGGTTTTATACTGAATTTCTCTGAAATTCTAAGACTTGAGTACCGCTACGAGCGAAGACAAAGAGTAGTTTACTACAAACACGCCATGTTTCCTTGGCGTCTTCCGCATGCGTCCTGGTTCGTTACCAGGCCGCGCTCATACTACATCTCCCTTTTTTAACGTTCTACTGTCCAAACTTTAAGACGTCTTAAGAGTCTAAAATGAAAGTCAAACAACAGTAAAGTTTCCAAATTAACACGTTCAATGCTAATAGATCAGTGTTCTAGGATAAGCACTCAAACTCATGGCCGGAAGCTCATCTAGAAGAAGGAAACTTTGAACCCAAACCAGGCTTGGAGCTCTGCAAGGCTTTATTTGCCCATGATACGCCACATGAAATGACAACCATTTCTCAACCAATACCGGATCGGTCGTCGCCCGGGTCAAAAAGAACAGCACCTTTCGTTGCGCATCAGGACGGAGGTGAGAAGTATGCGACTGGTGTAACAACTAGCAAGATACGTGCCAGGAACAATATCACTATTGGCACTTAGAACGAGAGAACCTTGCGAATGGCAGGAAAATTGGAAGAAGTGTCTTATGAGATGAGCAGATACTGCTGGAACATCTTAGTTCTCTGCGAGGTACGATGGAAAAACTTTGGCGAGACATCCACTGAGGAGGGTCATAAATTATACTTCAGTGGCAAGGAGGACAAACACGAACACGGCGTTGGATTTCTTGTACACGACGACATCGTGAACACTGTCAAGGGCTGCCGTACAGTCTCAAGCAGGCTCATCGTCATCCGCCTGAGGGCAAGTCCATTTAACATCACAATTATACCGGCCTACGCCCCTACCTCGGACAATGATGATGATGCAGTTGAGGACTTCTACGACCACCTACAGGAAATCTTGAACCAGTCCCCTAAGAAAGACATCCCTGTTGTGTTAGGCGATTGGAACGCCAAAGTAGGAGAGGATGCATTCAAGAATTGGAAAGGCACTTGCGGACGCTACTGCAACCCAGAGACAAACAAGAGAGGTCTAAGGCCCCTGAAGTTTGCTTGCTACAATGATATTGTGCTGGCGAATACACTTGGCAAACACAAAGTATCCAGAAGATGCCGACATGGCACATGCAGCCCAAATGAAGGATACCATAACCAGATTGATTATATCATGGTTAGGAGGCGCTTCATGGCCAGTGTAAACACCGCTAAGACAAGAAGCTTCCCAAGAGCTGACATAGGAAGCGACCATGATTTCGTGATGATGTCTTTCCGGCTACGTTTAAAGAAGATAAAAATGCAGGGTCCCACAAGGGTTAAGTTCGATCTTAAGAAGCTTAAAGACCCTCAAGTTGCAGATGCCTTCCAAGCAATGATTGGTGGTAAATTTGCACCACCTACCTTGCTCAATGCAGATCACACAGAAGTGGACACACTCGCGAACTCCTTCAATAAAGCATTGACTGAATCAGCTAGTGAAATCTTAGGCAAGCGCAGAGCAGTCAAAACACCGTGGGTCACAACTAGCATACTGTATCTATGCGACGAACGAAGAGCACTGAAGAAGGGGAGACACGAGACAGCAGAAGGGGCAAGAAAGTACAAAGCAATTAACCAGGAAATTAAGAAGAGCATAAAAAAGGCAAAAGGGTCTGGATTGATGTACAGTGTCAAGATATTGAAGATAACACCAGGAAGAACGATAGTAAGAAGGAATATCAGCTAGTTAAAACTGTAACTAGCACAAAACAAGGAAAAACCAACACCATACAGGACAAAGACGGGAATTGCCTCACTGAAACCAACGACATTCTAAACAAGTGGACAGAATACTGTGCAGAACTGTACAGCCACACAGTCGTAGGTGCCCCTGACGTGTTGACTGTCCCACTAGTTACCGACACTGACAACTAACCAATCTCGCAGGAAGAGGTTGAAGCAGCTGTGAAATCGCTCAAGAAGGGAAAATCTCCAGGGATAGACAATATCCCGGGAGAGGTGTTACAGGCAGGAGGAGATGCTGTGATAAGTGCCTTGCATAAAATCTGCAATACGGTTTGGCAGACAGGAGAGTAGCCTATACCATGGACCCAGTCCCTTATCATCACCCTTCCCAAGAAAGGCAACCTTCAACAATGCAAGAACTACCGCACAATCAGCCTTATATGCCACCCAAGTAAAGTCCTGCTGAAGGTGCTGCTAAATAGGCTGAAGCCTCAGGCAAAAACAATCATCGCAGAAGAACAGGTAGGTTTCCGATCAGGTCGCAGTACAACAGAACAGATCTTCAGTCTCAGGATACTGTGCGAGAGGTACCTCCAACATCAACAAGACTTCTACAACGTCTTTATTGATTTTAAAAAGGCGTTTGACAGAGTATGGCATAAAGCCCTTTGGTCTACCATGAGGCTTTATAACATCAATTTCAACCAAGAGCCTTAATGGGACAGAGACGGAAACGCCCAGTATAGCCCTTGGGATATGTGAATTTCACCAAAGTTATTTTTAGACCAATTAATCGTTTGAATTAATCGGAAATTGGTTTCCCGAGAGGTCCGCAAACTTTTATTCAGCGCTGTTAAGAAATAATTGCGTCCCGCTTGGAGGTGCGTTTCATCGACCAAAGTGATTTTGTAAACAAAGGAAATGGTTTTGTCTTGAAAGGTTGACCCGATTGGGAGCTAGATTCTACGATTTCGTTGGAGTTGACTGATTTGCTAGATGATATATCAGTTTATTAGGAGGAATTGAAGTCCGCGGACAGCGATCCTAATCATGAAATTTCAATTTCGGTACTGGAACCTCGGCAGGAAGGAAAAAGCAAAAGCAAAAGGCAAACATAGAAGTGGGAATAATTGTCGCACAAAACAATCAAAGCAGCCAAACATCAATTCCAGTGAAGCGACGTCGCTCAAAACAGGAAAGCAGCAGAGGTAATAACAACAAAAGGACTGGAAAATAAACTTCGTCACGAGTGTCAGAACTTCGTATCAGAGCAGCACTAACAACGAGTCATGAAAAATTTGAAAACCAATCGAAAGCTAATGGCTACTCGAAGAAATACTCGACGTTCAGGGCATTGTATCTAAAACTTGTTTCTTCAGTTGCAAACAAGTTCATTTTACATTCGAGGTTGGGGGCCGAGCGTGTCAAAACATTACAGGAAACCATCACATTCGCAGATAAAAGAAAATTGCTTTTAGTTATTCAGATCCAGGAGGCGCTTTGGAGAAAAGTAAACAACCTAAAACCTTTATTTAGCCGCAACAAAGAGCGTTAAGTTTGGATCAGAGAGCCAATCCTGCCGACCAGAAACAAAACCCACAGAAACTCAATATGCCTGAAACAAGCGGCAAAATTCACACTTGTTGAATCAAAACTTAGAACCCTTCAGAGCATACTCTACCCGCCAGAAGGAAAAAACGTATTGAAACAAGCAGCATAGCCTGTGTACAGACGTCCCCCCTCCCTCAGGAAAAATCGGGAGAGGCTCAGGCTCATCTAAAATATTGAGGCCGAAATTTAGAGGCCTGACGCCTGTAAATCTCACTCGAAAAGGTCATGTTCAATATTCAGCAGTTTCTATTACAATATTCTGCATTGTTTGCTTTGAGGCAGTCACGCGTGGACTTGATGATGTTTTAAACAATCGATTAAAATGAGGGGACGGCGCAGGAATTAGACTTCCGTTTAATTACAACACAGTACTTTTAGGCGTGTCGACTACAACTGACCTTGGCATCTCAGGACATTTTACTACAGAGCTTTCTGTTCGCAGATCTGGTATCCAGACACGGTCTCCTTGGGACAGATGTTCTCATGATACAACTTTGTGTCTTTGGCCATACACTTGTGTCATCTTCCCCCTGTACGTCTTTTCTCCTCTGCACAACTCATCATAATCTGTCAGTTTAGGAAGCAGTCTGTCCGGACTGCAGGGTACTCGAGTTTTTTAGTTTGCGACCCATGTTCAGTTGTGCAGGAGAATACCCCTTTGTAAGGAGTGTGTCCCGGTTGGACAAAAGTGCCAAGTACTCATTGTTAAGTTTTGCCTTCATGGTCTGTACTGCCCGCTCGACCTCGCCATTGGACTGTACACACAGTGGGGACGATGTAACATGTTCGAACCCCCAAAGAACTGCGAACTCTTTAAATTCTGTGGATGCAAATTGTGGGCCGCTGTCAGTGATAAGGGTATCGCATATATCTTGTGTACTGAACACTTTCTTCATTCGCAGGATGGTCTCAGCAGTATTGACACCTCTATATTCAAGACAGATTTCAACATTGTTTGAATAGTAATCTTCAACAAGCAGGTATTTGTGACCTTATGAATGAAGAAGTCTACTGCAACTTATCCGCAAAGTATACTCCTCATGGGCTCGATCTTTTCTGTTTGAAACTTTGAGCACATGTCGCCATTCTGCACCATCTTCTCGATGTCACATGAAAGTGCAGGCCACCAGACGGAAGAGGCTGCATTTCACGTGTCCTTGTAATACCTTGTAATATCTGAGGGTTTCTGGAACGACTAATCTTCTTCCTCTGAGGAGCAAGTCGTTGTGGATGCTAAGGTTACCTCTCTCATCCCAGTATTTTCCAACTGGTGTACACACAGTTTACGCTTGCCAGTAGGCGATCCTTCCTGGGCATACTGCATAACAACTTTCAAAGTGTCATCCTTCTTTAAATCGCGCCTTATTTCGTCCACACGCTGGCCTGAGGCTGGTAATGTTACCATGACAGCGTTAACAACGAAATCTAGTTCAGTTTCAGGTCACTTTCTTTCCCGGGAGAAGACCTCCCAGGACCTAGAGAGAGCGCATCTGCAGCGTAGAGTAGTTTCCCTGGGACATGTTCCACTGTAATGCTAAACTGCATCACACGCATGCAGAAACTTTGGATCCTTAGTGAAAGCTCGTCTACTAGCTTTGTCATGAACAATGGCACAAGCGGTTTGTGGTCTGTCTCCACTTTAACCTTTGGTCGCCCGATGAGGCAATCTCGCCAATGTTTTAGAGCCCAAGTTAGTGCCAATGCTCCTTTTTCGATTTGGGCATATCTGCATTCGGTATCTGTCTTGGACCTACTGGCGTATGCGACTGGTTTAAGTTCACCCGTGGGTTGCTTCTGGAGAAGGACAGCGCCTAATCCGTAGCTACTGGCATTAGCAGACACGATAGTTTTGTACTCTGGATGGTAAATTCAAAAGACGCGGTCAGAAGCCAATTCTTTCTTAAGATAGGTGAAGGCATCTACTTGCTGTGGGCCCCACAACCATGCAGTTTTGGTCCCGAGCAAATCTCCTATAGGTTTGCTATGCTCATCCAAATTAGGCTAGAACTTCATAAGCTGGTTTACCATGCCAAGAAACCTTCGCAATTCTGCAACATCATGTAGTTCCGGGAAGTCGACAATGGCCTGAACGTTGGAAGGATATTTTCGCATTCCGTGTCCATCAATAATCTGTCCGAGGAACTCAAGCCCGGAAACAGAATACACACTTTTTATAGTTTAAGGTAATGCCTTCTTCCTGAAGACGAACAACAAATGCTCTATTCGGTTACGACCACTCACCAAGAAATCATCAACCAGACATTTAACACCAGGTAAGCTTTTCAATACCTGCATCATTCGCTTTTGGTAATTAATTCTCAGGAGCTGAGGAGATACCATATGGTAGCCGTTTGAATATAAACCGTCCAAAGGAAGCAGCATGACCGAGTGGTCAGCGCGTCGGACTCGCAATCCGGCTGTCCCTGAGTTCGAGTACCGCTCTGGTGACTTGCTGGATTTGTTCTCGGTCGTCCCGAGTTCAAATCCTTGGAGACGCTTGTAAATAGCTAACAGGTTGCCTCCTGCCAGTTAGGGTTTTTAATCCCGTTATGTTGTATTTAAATTATTTGTTTCTAAGTATTTGAGTGGAGTGCCTGTAAACTAGCTGGATAAGCGAAGTGCACTTTCCACTATAAACAAGCCTTTAAACACTTTTTTAAATTAAACTTTAAAGGATGTAATAAAGGTTGCGGAAACGCTCAAGTAGGTAGCTGGAACTGCTGGAGTTGTTGCTCTCCATTTAATTTCTCGGATTCCTTCTTTCAACAAGATAATATC